CTATTAATCTAAGAGTAAATTCTAAGAGTGAATTCCTTATAATTATTAATTATATTGTGATCAATCCATCTCCTTAATCAATAATAATGTGAATAATATCAAGAACAGTAGAATTAATAATCTTATAGCAATAGCAATAACAATGACAATAACAATGTTTCTTTGATAGTAGTATTATAACATTAATTCCTAACCCTTAAGTTCAACCTTACATATGACCCTCCTATATTAAGTAGTTATATAAATATTCTGAATCCTCTTAGTCCATTTAATCTTCTTTCTCTCTCTCCAATCGTTTCTTTTAATGATGTCCAAAAGTTATCATCAATGTCCTCCAATAGTCAGGCCTCTGCTATCCAAATATTCTGCTTTCTTTTGAAGTATACCCTAGGGCTGTGATGGTGAACCTATGGCATGCGTGCCACAGGTGGCATGTGGAGCCCTTTTTGCTGGCACCCAAGCAGTCGGCCAGCTCAGACCCACTGTGCATGCCTGCGCCTCCCGCCACCCAGCTGATTTTTTTGGTCTCTGGTGTTGGCAGGAGACACATGTGAATGTGTGGTGAGTAGGGAGAGGTCTCAGGGGCATACGTGGGGGGAGGGGGAGAGCACGCATTCAGGGGGAGTGGGGAGTGCGACACAGCTCTCCCAAGCCCCATTTTTGGTGCTTCCCCACCCCAACCCACCCATGGGCATGCGCGGGTGATCCTTGTTTTGGTGCTGACAGACCTTCCTGTGAAGCCTCCTGGCACCAAAGATGGGGATCACTTTGGCTCTCTCCTAACGGGAGAAGATCAGACCTCAACCTTGACTTGAAGTGGGGAGCCGCTCCGGATTTTCATTCCCCAAACGAGTTTGCCCCAAGGCATTGAAAAATGGGACTTATCCCTTTTATCCCCTGCAAGACCACTACAGTATTGTGGTCCCATTGTGGTCCCATGGTCAAAATTTAGAGGCATGGCAACTGGCATATTTATTATGGTTGCAGTGTCCTGAAGTCACGTGATCACTTTTTGCAACCTTCTGACAAGCAAAGTCAGGTGGGAGACCACATTCACTTAACAACCATTTGGAGGGCCAGTTTAGTCTAAAGGTTAAGGCACCAGGCTAGAAAGTGGGAAACCGTGAGTTCTAGTCCCACTTTAGCCATGAAAACCAGCTGAGTGACCTTGAGCCAATCATTCTCTCTCAGCCCAACCTCCCAGGATTGTTGTTTGGGAAAAATAGAAGGAGGAAGATTTGTTGGATATGTTTGCTGTCTTGAGTTATTTATAAAAATAATATTGGCAGGATGCATAAAATAAATAAAATAAATGTGGCAAGAAAGGTTATAAAATTGGGGAGAATTCACTTAACAACTGCCTTGCTTAGCAATGGAAATGTTGGGCTCAATTGTGGTCATAAGTCAAAGACTACCTGTATAGCATTCAGTTAGGAGAGAAGTCGAGTGATTCATAACTCACGTGAGAGATCTCAAAATGATCAGGTAGATTTAATCTTCCCACATAGAACAAATGTCTCTGCATTTGATCTGAGCCAAAAATATAAATAATGTTATTTAATAATAGACTGATCAAACTAATGACTTATCTGCATGGTTGATGTACTGTATATACAAAATTTGTACTTATATGGAAGATTCAGAATCTTCTAGAACAGTGGTTCCCAAACTTGGCAACTTTAAGACTTGTGGACTTCAACTCCCAGAATTCTCCAGCCAGCAGTCCACAAGTCTTAAAGTTGCCAAGTTTAGGAACCACTGTTCTAGAATTACAGCAGGAAATTTGATCTCATGTGCTTGTGTTTCATGGTCATGACTCCCACTTTTCCAGTAGCATCTTCTGCCACCTTAGCAGCAGCATTTGGACAATTTCTTTTGTCCTCCAGTAGCCTGTTTTTTTCTTATCTTCATTAATATAGTTTCTCTTTTGTTTTGTTTTTCCTTTTTCTTGCAAAAAGAAGCGCAGCTGGTATACCCATTAGTTTGTATGTCTTTTTCTTTTTTCTTTTCTTTTTATGAGTGGGCAATTGTTCAACCACCACCACTCTCCCTCTACAAATGCCTGGCTTGGTCTGATATTCCTGTTGACCATTATGTGTTCTTAGGAAACTGAGGAGAGGAGTTGTAATTTCTACTAAAATTGTTCAGCTCCAAAAGATTCTTAAAAGGAGCTGAAGGCACAGATGACCAAGTATAAGAACTTGTAAGTGAATGATAGTGTAAACCATCTATTCTTTCAAAGCAATTGTTCAGAATTTGGAATTCCAAATATGAAGCAATTTGTCTTAACAAAGTTCTCAGATCCAGACTCTAGATACTATTAATGACTATTTAGATTGCTTGGTAGAGTATTAAATAGCCCATCAAAATAATATTGCTTTGCATGCTTATTAACATTAATTAATAAACATGATTATCTAATTCTGGGCCATGCAGTTCTATTATTCTGACTCCTCTTAATGAATTACTTACAGTCTGGATGAGGAGCCTATGGAAGAGGATCCTCTTCTGTAGCATACTCCTGGTTTCAAGCGTTCCAGTGAAATTCATCTTGTCTTTGAAGGCCTGCCAAGAAGCTTTCTATTGTTATACCTGCATCCTGCCCTGATTTTCTTCCAGAAAGGCAGCCATGTTGAAAAACAGATTAATTTCTCCATATTGTAATTGTATGGATTACGCTCATGGAAAACAAAACAAATAAAATGCAGGTGAAGAACAGCAATATGGATTACAGACACACTGAGTGATCTTCCTTTTTTCCTCAATGGAAGCTATAAGAAGCAAGATGCCAGGGAAGTATTTGGTTGTCAGCTTTTGCTGTTGTTTCAAAATCAAAGACTTAACATGTATGTAACAATTTTCATTTAAACTGGTGCTTAACATTTAATTACATTCAGACTACTCAAAGTAAATTCTACTTTTGTTTCAGTATTTTTGTGGTTCTTGCGTATTTGTGAATAAGAGTTCTTCAAAACTCAGACCCTGAGGAGGGTTATTTTTCTTCTTGTGAAGGGTAAAAAGAAAACTAAGTTTTTATATATTCATTCAAATTATATAAATGTGAAGAGGGAGAGTGTAAAATAAGAAAGATAGCCAGAAAAGGGATATTGGCATTGCCAAAGCCATTGGAAAAGTTTGTGCCTTTTAAAATAATAGACTGACTTGGGCAGCTATTTTTTCCTGACATTTTTGAGGAACTATGCCTTAAAGAAAAAAAAAACTTTGTAGCGGTTCTTCTGGCAGAAAAAGCCAAGAACTGCATTCTGTAAGAAAGATTCTAGGATTTCTGCTAGCATGATTATTTAAAGCAAGCAAAGGCCAGAGCTTCTCCCAAACAGTCTACAACCTTATTTTGATTTTTCTTTCCTTGCTGTTTAATTTTTTTAAAATTAAGGTAATATGACAAGTGTTGTTGGGTTTCTTAAGTTCATTGATTTTTTAAAAATCCAACATCTTCTTCTATACATTATGGATAACAAATTATCAATTTGGTTGTAAAGGCATGCACAAATACAATTGCAATTTTTTTAAAAAATGGAATGCTTTTTATTAAAAGCAGATTGCATGGAATATTGCTTAATTTTTTAGGTATAAATATTTATGTATGCTGTGTAATGAATAATATAAATATATTCCAAACTTAGGAAAATGACTCTTAGAAATTATTAATTAAATATTTATAATGCATTTATATTACCTATATCAATGGTGGCAACCATTGGAAATTCCTTCCAAAGTATTTGTGGATTGAAAGGTTAAGATCTAGTTAAAATGCCCATTTCCAAAGTGCAGTTTGGAACATTAAAATGCCCAACATTTTAGCCACTGGGCAACTACCCTACATACTGTTATTTAACTTTTAAGTTCTTCAGTGTTGACCCTCTTTTAACAAACAAAGTATTTCTGGTAAATATTTGTTTACTATTGATTTATTTTTTCACGTTAGTTTTCAAATAAAGCCAATTATTTGCATTGATTTTCATGTTTGGTTTGGTTTGAGAACTGTGTTTCCAGACATTATTTTCTGGACATACATAATTTTTCCTTGGACACTAAAGTTTTCTTATTTCCCGATTTTTGTACAGAAAACACTTTTTAATATTGTGCATGTTGCAAACTGATATGTATTATTTTCAGAATATTCTTTTCTCAAAAGGAAGGATTCCACAGTCATTTTTAAGATCAAAAATTGATTGTATAATTTGTCAGTTCTTCAACTGTAGTTGTTATGCTACCTAAAGTAAATGATAAACTTTCCTCTCTTGAAATTGATTAGTATTATAAAGAGCAATGTATATTCTCAATGGCAAGGATTATTAAAGGCATTAATAATTTAAATAAATAAGTTGAAAGATTGCAATATTCTGTTGGTACAGTTAATACTGAGAAAACACACATTACTATGCTTGAATAATCCCTTTAAAGATTATTTCAAAATAAATAACAATAATAATAATTACATTAGGTTTTTGAGAGTGTGTTAATCTTCACCATGATCTCTTTTCTTCTACATATTTTTTTAAAATGAGAGCAGTTGACCCTCTTATGTAACTGCTTAAATTTTTAGCAGGGAAATTAGAAGAGATTAATTTTTTTCTAAAGAAACATTTTTTGGTTATATTAACTGACAGAGTCAATTTATAATTATGTAGTTTTGAAAAGGTTTTTTTTCTTTCATGCCATTATGATTGGAGTTATGAGAATATAAACATAAATTTCAATGAGTGCAGACTAGCTTTAGGAGTTTATTTAATGAAAAAGTTAATATGCAATTTTTAAAACAGACACTACAATATTAATCTTCATGTTAACCCAAATGTATTCAAAACCCAAATGGATTCTTTTTGGCATTAGAACTGCCAGGAGCATACTCAAAGACTAAAGTTTGATGGTAAAGATAAAATGTATATTTTATAAAATGCTTTGCTGCTGTGTTCTAAAAAGATTTTTGTGTGAAATTACTTGGTTTTGTATTTTGTTAATTTACTATGTTTTACTACAATTGATAAAAATTGTTGAATTCTGTGATCACTGCAATTTCAAATCTATTTTATATTTGAACATAAAAATTGTCAATAATTTTTTGTCACAAAAAATAATAATATGTATCAATGGTGTTAATATGATTGGTTTTAATGTTACTTTTAAGAGCATTCATTTGTTACTTTCAAATTGCTACATCTTTGGAAATGAAAAGCATTTCTGAAGTCAGAAAGAATTTTGGTATATGTAATTTGCCCCATAATTTATTAATTCCTTTTTAAAATAAATATACCATAATCTCACTGTATGCCTAAAACTGAATTTCTTCTGCAGTTATTCTAGGAGAGAAAAGATATGCATGGTTGGAGGATGGAAATAATTTTATTTAATAAAAGCATAGATAAGGAAGGCTTCTGGGCTCTGTGAATAAACAAAAAGCTCAGTGTGAGTAAGACAATGTATCTCCAATTACAGTTTTTTATATTCTATAAGGAAGAGGTACCTAGGTTCTACCAGCAGGATTCTATATGTTTTTTGATTAACGCAATTCTGAAGGTAAAGAGTGATTTCCTACAATTCTGTTACAACATGTTAAAAAGAATAATCTAAAAGTGACTTCCATTGTATAATATAATAAATCATAATTCTTTTACTTTTTACTTTCGGTACAGACAAACATTCCTTTTTATTAATCATGTACTCATTCCAGTTTTCTTTTTCTAAAATTTTAGACTCACATTTTATGGGCATTGATAAATATATAAATATATTTTTTCAAGTTTCCAATAGTTTAAAAAATATGGTCTACTAGGTTCGCATGCCTTTGTATCGTAAACAGACTTTGCACGCTACACTTGGCAAGTGTACGCTACACTTTTTTCACTGTGGGAAAAAGCTTTCTGATGGCATTAGCAAGATATACAAGTTGGGTAGCTTTGTGTCACACAAAAATAAGAGGCATGGACAAGGGAAGTTTAATTGACTCATATGATTAAGGACCTATGCTTTTAATGTAACATTTAAAAATGTCAAAAGACTACTTAAATATTTGTCATTAAAAAAATAATAATTGCATTTTTGACAAGCCAATAATAGAATACATTGTATTTATTTGGAAATGTTCTTGAAATCTATGCTGAACATACAAATAAACTGCCTGTGTCAGTTTTTTTAAGAGAGGGAGGAAAAAGAATTGTGTTTTTGCTTGTAAGGGATAAGGAAGGTGCAAACCTATGCTAATTTCTGTTTATATTAAATATCATATGAAATTGGAAATAACTTTAAGAGGTAACTCTTCAGCTCAACTGTACTACTTTTTAAATTACTAGGAATTATATATATAGATTTTTACATTTAAGCAGTGATATTAAGCAGTAAAGGGACATAGTGGCTAAGTGGCTAAGACACTGAGCTTGTTGATCAGAAAGGTCGGTGATTCAGCAGTTCGAATCCCTAGTGCCGCGTAACAGAGTGAGCTCCTATTACTTGTCCCAGCTTCTGCCAACCTAGCAGTTCGAAAGCATGTAAAAATGCAAGTAGAAAAAATAGGAACCACCTTTGGTGGGAAGGTAACAGCATTCCATGCGCCTTCAACATTTAGTCATGCCGGCCACATGACCACGAAGACGTCTTTGGACAGCACTGGCTCTTCAAAACGGGAATGAGCACCTCTCCCTAGAGTCGGGAACGACTAGCACATAGGTGCGAGGGGAACTTTTACCTTTACCTTATACTGTGCAAACACTATGGATTTGAACAAAACTTTGCATCAGCACTAAATGAGGTTTCTTCATAGGGATAGTTGAGCTTGATTTCCTCCCAGCTTCATATTATATTTGAGATAATTAAAAAGAATGGGCCAGGAAAAAAAATTTAATACTTGTGGTGCTTTATCTTGCTGGCAACCCATATGTATGGGTTGAAAAACTATTAACCCAAGAATTTATTACGAATATGTAGTATGAAAAGTTTTAACATTATTATATTCTGCTTTATGCCTAAACATGCTCAATATATCATCAATAGCACCTAACAGTTTACTCTGCAATTTATACAAAGTTTCATTTTTAATTGTATAAACCCTTTAAATTATAGTAGCATATTCTTTGTACTTAAATTTTGTTATGACTTTTTTCTTAGTAGATTTGAAATTTGGGTTATTTTTCCTATGTATCTCTCATTCCTGTTTTTTGTTATATTGTCTTACTTTTTTTAACCAGTGGTGTTTCTCTAACCTATACCAACATCAATTTCAACTTTAATACAAGTTCAGTATTTTGTACCACATTATGACATCTTGTTATTACTGTGGTGTAAATAAAAAGATAAAATGAATTAAAAAAATATCTGTATTGCGGTTAATAACAATTGTCTTCTCTCTTCCTTTGTCAATTTATTTTTGTGTGTTTATGCTCAAATATATTCTGAAGAACTGCTAAATTTTGAGTATGTCTTGCAAACAGATGGTCCCTGGAAGCAATTTCAGTTGAATACGTTATAAAACAGGTTCCAACTTTCCCTTCATCGTGGATATTTTTTCCTGATAACGGGATGAAAGAAATGACAGCAAAATATAGGAAGTTGATATTGTATAAAATCACAATTGAAGAAATACAGTGCAACAGAGGAAAAATGCTGGCTCACAGAAATGAAATGTCTTCAGAAAAATGTTTATGTATCCAAGTTCTAAGTTAGTGAGGCTAAGTCCCTAGGAAATAAAGACCCTTGACTCCATTTGGTTGAAGTGATAGATTCTTTTACTAAGAGATAGTGGTTAGTGGTTTCAGCAAAAGCAAGGCAAGGTCTGAATATTCCCACCCAGAGGTACAAAGTTTTCACCTTGTTTGTGACCCTACCCCCTGACCGCGAGGCAATGGAATCTGGCTGCTTAGCACCTCTGGTTCCTGTCAGTATCCTCCCTCCACCCTTACGTCCTTCTGACTACCTGTGTAAGGACCTACCTTGCCCCCCCCTTCAAAAAAGCGTAGACACCTGGTATTTCAAAAGAAATCTTTTATTGAAAAGAAATGAAAGCAAATCAACATCGAAAACAGGCTCTGGGACCCTCAGGCTATACAATCCATAATAAAGGGACTTAGGAACCACTCCCAATGTGGGCAGCTAGCAACTTAGCTCTCCATGTCTTTTTTAAGGGATGGCCACCAGAATTGTCTTTTGGTGAGGTGTAGAGTTTTCACAAATACAAAATGTCCAGCTATCCTAGAGTTGTGGCATCACTTCATGTGATCCAATCTTTGGGATGTAAAGTTTGTTTTCTACCTAGGCTAAGTTGTCTTTGAGCAAACAAATGTTTTGTGTGCTTGGAACCAGTCATCCTTAAGTAGAGCCTCCTTAAATTTGGATACCATTGCATTGTCAGCAAGCTGTTCTTTTTTGGTTTGTGCTGGAGTAATTACTTTGGCGGCTAACTGGAGTGTTTGGAGTATAGGTTTAACAGTCTTTTTGCTGTTATATTGAAGTTTTCTGGACAGGGCATCAACTCAGAAGTTTTTTCCTCCTGGGAGATATTTGAGGGTGAAATTAAACTGTTCAAAGTATTGTGCCCAACGTACTTGATTGGGGGAGAGTTTTCATGGGGTCTTCAGAGCTTCTAGGTTTTTATGATCAGTCCAGACGTCGAAGGGGATTTTGTTCCCTTCTAAGAATTGTCTCCGTGTGAGGAGGGCCCATCATGCTGCATAAGCTTCTTTCTCCCATATAGTCCATCTTTGCTTGGTTTCTATCAATTTTTGGATGGGTATGCACATAGTTGCAATTGTCCCTGTTCATTGTTTTGCACTGCTCCTATTGGCACGTCACTGGCGTCTGCTTGGATGACAAATGGTTGTTCTGGGTCTGGATGTTTTAGGATTGGTTCTGCTAAGAATAGCTGTTTAAGTTTTTCAAATGCCACTTAGCATTCCATGGTCCAGTTAAGAGGTTGCCTTGGTTTCTGTTTCTCTCCCCCTCACCTTTCATCTTTAGCAAGTTTGTAATGGGGAGAGCGATTTTGCAAAGACTGGAATGAATTGATGGTAATAGTTAGCAAACCCCAGGAAATTTTGTAGTTGTTTACAGGTTTGGGGTGGCTCCCAATCAATGACAGCTTTTACTTTTTGTGGATCCATCTCTATTCCCTCATGGGATATCCCACGTAGTCAGTTCTTTCTTGGTGGAACTCACATTTAGAGAGTTTTGCATAGAATTTGGTGGCTTGGAGTTTAGCAAGAACTGCTTGGACTAGTTTTTTGTGTTCTGTTTTTGTTTCAGTGTAAATGAGAATGTCATCAAGATAAACCAGGTTTATCAAGATAAACCATTTCTTTGTATAAATATTCATGGAGCACCTCGTTAATTAGTTGCATAAACATGGCAGGTGGCCCTTGTAGTCCAAAAGGGGGTACTTTAAATTGGTAGCACCCCAGCAGGGTGTTAAAAGCAGTTTTCCACTCATCCCCTTTCCTAGTTCTGATGCATTAGTACACCTCTTGTAAATCCAGCTTTGAAAAGGTTTTTTCTTTAGAGAAGTGGGCCAGCATGTCTCATGAGGGGGAGTGGGTACATATTTTCCATGCTAATCATGTTGAGATTATGGTAGTTTACACAAAGGTGTAAGGAGCCATCTTTCTCTTCATGGAACAATACAGGGGCCATTATTTTTGGTCAGGTAGGTTCAATGAAACCTCTTTTTAGATTTTTGTCAATTTTTGTCTAGTTCTCTGGGGGACATGCAGTACATCTTTGGTTTTGGAAGTTTAGTCCCCATTAAGATCTCAATGGCACAATCCATGGTGCAATGAGGTCGGAGTTCATCCGATGCCTCCTCACTAAATACCTTGGCCAAATCCTGTTATTCTTTGGGGATGTTAGTTAGGATGTTAGCAGGGTGGCCAGCCATGGCCATTTCCCTGTTCCCTTTCTCTATCTCTCTTTCCTCTGGGAGGTTTGTGAATGTTATGTATCTCTGGAATTTTACGTTTCCACCCCTCCAGTTTACTTTCGGGTTCCACTTCTGTGGAATGGCTACATGACTTTAGGAACTCTCTCCAGAACTTTGCGGTGAATTGGACTCCACGGTCCAAGGTGATTCTTCTGGGTACTCTGTGTAGTTGGTAGATGGGTGATAAACATTTTCACTAGTTTCTTTGCTGAAGGTAATCCTGAGCAAGCGATGAAATGGGCTTGGTTGGAAAATAAGTTGCTGACTGTCCAAATCATTTTATTTCCACTGCTGTCTGGAAGTTCTATGATGAAATCCATTGAAATCTCTTCCCATGGCCGGCTGGGGCTGGCTATTTGTTACAGTAGCCAAGGAGGCTTATCAGGTCATATTTTCATGGCTGCACAAGGGGCACAACCTTTTACGTAGTCTTCTTCTGATTTCATCTTAGGCCACCAAAATTGATGTCTGGCAATGTGGAAGGTCTTTAGGATTCCAAAGTGTCCTTCTAGCTTTGCATCATGGCTTCACTGTAGTACCTCCAATCTTAAGGTGGCCGGCATGTATATTTTAGACCCTTTCTAGGCTAGTCTCTCATTGTTAAGATGTCTTTGTTTGCTGTAAGCCAAGGGTCAGTTGGACGCGGTCAGCTTGTCCTATTTAGGATCTGTCGGCTGTCTGGATTGGCCTTGGGTGGTGACTTCTGCTGCCGACTGATGTGGGGGAATCACTGCATGAATTTCCTCTTCCCTTCGACTGTCGAACTGTGGCTTCCTTGATAGGGCATCTGCCAGCAGGTTCTTCCCTGCAGGAATGTGTTTAAGTTCAAACTTGAATCTTCTGAAATATGGAGCCCAACGGACTTGCTTGGGAGACAGTTTCCTGGGGCTCTTAAGGGCTTTGAGGTTTTTGTGATCAGTCCAGACCTTGAAATGCATTTTCCTCCATTTTAGGAAGTGTCTCTAGGTGAGTAGAGCCCAACGGACTGCATAGGCTTTTTTCTCTCAGATGGCCTATCTTCTCTCGGTGCTGGTGAGTTTTTTGGAGACATAGGCACAAGGCAGAGGTTTTTCTTTTTATCTATTTGTAACAGCACTGCTGCTACAGCTACGTCAATGGCATCTGTGTGGGCGATGAATTGCTGTTCTGGATCTGGGTGTTGTAAAATGGGCTCCTGAGCAAAGAGCCACTTCAGTTTCTCAAACGCTTTTTGGCAGTTCATTGTCCACCCAATTGACTGATTTGGCTTTGGCTTAGTCGGTGATGTCTACTTTGGTTTTCCGTTAGGGGTAATGCTACTTCTGCAAACACCGGAATGAATTGTCTGTAAAGGTTCGCAAATTGGTTGGTTAGGTAATATACCCCGTAGCGGGCAATATGGGTCCAAACTCAGTTCAGATAGACCAATTTGTCTGGATTTCCATCAAAGGCAGCCCTGAAGTGGGGTGGTGGCGGGACGCACAGGTGATGGAGGTGGCTAGGGTGTGGGAATGGGGGCAGGTGTCCACTGGAGCTGGACCCAG